GCTCAAGTAATAACGATATAGTCGCTAGCAAGCCATATATAGCTACATAAATATCAAATCTGCAGGCCCATATATGCAGATGTATAGATCATTCAATATTACAAAGCACAATATACAAAAAGCTATCATATTCATCATGATGAAGCGCCGCCGGCCTTGGCCTGCACGACCAACAGATCCGTCGTCACTCCGCTGGCAACAAAATGAGCAGCAAGCTTACCCAAACAGCCCTGAACATCCTCTCTGGGTCTATCTGTAAGTTTGCCTTCCTCCAATGCGACGCTTCCGCTGCGGCCCAAAACAACTAGTGTCGGCTTGTTGACTTCTAATTCAGTGGCGTTGGGAGCTGGGTCGGCGAAGTTGAGTAAATCTTCAACAGTAGGAGCGACGGAGTGTTTCTCGACCTTAATTCGGGAAGATATATCTCGGGAGAGTTTGCTAATGACCAAATCAATGACATTTTCATTCGCTGATGAAGATTTCTCGGCAATCTCGGCGACATTGACAATGGTTGCGGTGACGTGTTCGCGTTCCAAGAGCTGGATGACAAGGCTAAGAGCAAGATTGTCATCGCGTCCTCCGGTATAGACGAAGAAGATCTTGTGAATGCGAGAAACTAGGGGCGCAGTGGGGAAGTCGCGTTTCGATACGTCGTAAGAGTACTGTCGGCGAAGCCTGGCTTGCTCATTTCCCTGGTTCTTCCTCTTTACGTCGTCTTGACTTCGCGTGAAGAGCACGCCAATATTGAGTTCGGGAGCACGGAGGACAGACTTTACAAACAACATGTAGCTAGACGCAAGCCGATCCTCGACATTGGCTGAAGAAACAATCTGAGCATCTCCCATGCTACCGGTCTCAGTCCAAGGCAGGAGAAGAAGATCAGATGTCATATTGGATGAGCGCGAGACAAGAGTATCAGCGAAACGATCCTCTGGCATAATGGCAACTTCGCCAGATGCTGAGATGTTGTGAAGCTGACCAACGCTGCGGAAAATATTGACGACAGGGTCGTGTCTGCTGTATTCATCAACCTGGGCCACCGTCATGACGGACGAGTCACGATCTGTTAGTTCGAGGAGTCGCAGCCCATGAGCTCGGACAGGAGCTTTGACATCTTCATTGTAATTTCCCTTGGAGTCTCCAGAGCTTGCGCTCGATGTCTCCAAGGCGCGAGAGCTTCCGAATAACGAAAGAAGGTTGAGTAGCGCAGGCATGTTATCCAATCTAAGGTAAACGAGCAGTCGCCTAACCCTCTTATGATCTGTATCAGCCGTAGGGGTCACGGTTATTTGGGTAATTGGAGAACCAGTTTCCCAATCAATCTCGCCACGCTTCCAGGCAGCAATCTTTTTCTGATACCAAGGAGGATACAGGTAAGAGACGGCAGGAGTCGTAAAGAAGGTAGCAAGAAGAGCCATGACGACGAAGATGGTGAAAGTCCTAACGCTGAGAATTTGGGCTTGAAGGCCAATATTCTAAGAGGGACAGAAGTCAGTATAGCTCGTTGAAAAAAGGGGTACAGGCGTTTCTTCCCGCTTAACTCACCAGAGCAATAAGTTCAACGAGACCCTTGCAACTCATCAAGACGCCAATGGCAAACGATTCTCTCCAAACCAAGCCATTAAGTCGAGCCGCTACGGAGGCGCCAACGATTTTGGTAATGAGAGCGACAAAGGTAGTAGCAAATACGTATCCCCATGTCGTTCCGTTGTCGAGGAGACCGAGGTTTGTACTGAGACCAGAGAGAGTAAAGTAAAGAGGCAGAAAAATGGAACCAATGAGATCTTCGAGCTTCTCAATGACAATGATGTTGAAGCCGTGCTCACGTGGAATGATTAGTCCGGCGGCAAATCCTCCAAAGATGGGATGAATACCGATGATTCCAGTGAAGAAGGCGGAGGCGAGAGCAATGAGAAGAATGAGAGCAATGGCGCTTTGCGAAGGGCCATTCTCAAGGTTGTTTGTCTTGCGCAAGGTAAATCGAAGCCCAGGTTTCACAGCAACTACGAGGAAAATGATGTAGCCAACAGCAACAAGCAAGATCCACAGCGCTGTAATACCCTTGCCGGCATTGACGAGGGCAACACAAAGTGCCAGCAAGATCCACCCTAGGAATCATATAAGTAAGAGATTGCGAAGGCAACACCTCCGGCAGCACTCACCAACGACATCGTTTGCAACACCGGCTGATAGAGTAATGATACCGACCGGGGTGTCAAGCAGCTTGAGTTCCGTCAAGATACGGCAAAGAACGGGGAACGCCTAGGGGAGGTTAGGACAGGAGTGGCCAGTGAGATGAACAGATGGATTTCATATCGAGAAGACGTACAGTGATGGCAACCGCGATACCAACAAACAGCATGTAGACGCTGAAGCTAATTGGTTTGATGCCGGGATCGTCGCGAAAGGCGTTGTATATACCCCAGGCGAGAGCGCAGCCAACGCCAAAGGGCAGTGCCAGTCCGGCAAAGGCAACGGAGGTGGCAACACGCCAATTGCTCAGGAGGAATCGAACATCCGTCTCGAGGCCAATCATGAACAAGTAGAGGACAAGACCAAGGTTCGCGACAAGCGTCAGGTTGGGGATTGAAGCCGCGGGGAAAATGGCATCCCGAAATCCGGGGATGTGGCCCATAACAGAGGGGCCGAGGATGATGCCTCCAATGACTTCGGCAATGACCCGAGGCTGGCGGATCTTGGACAGAGGCCAATGCAAGATGTGGCAGAGGATGACGATGAGGGAGATCTAATTGCGCCGGCGTTAGCATCTCTTGCCGTTGCAAAGCAGAGGCTGCCTTGGCTTCTCTGGCGGCACTGACCTGGATGATGAAGATGGTGATGGGGTTCTTGGGATCGTAGACCGACGGGTTCCCGCCCTCCAAGATACCGCCTTGCGGCGCGACTCGGACGGTCGAGGTCGGCGCAGCCGAAGCTGTCGTCGTGGTCGCCATGGTGAACGAGGCCGGCGGAAGAGTTGCAGCCGTGACGGCGAGCTGGAATGCGAAACGGGTCGCCTCGGTGCTCGCCTGGAAAACAAACACCTTCAGAGCTCTCCGCACCCTAAGCTCGTAGAGATGCTGACGAGGTTGGAGGGGAAGAGAGAGAAGCGACGATGGAAGGAATAGAACCTCTGTTCTTCTCGCAAGAGAGAAAAGGCGGAGGATGAAGTTGCGTTCGGCGACTTACAGTGACGACTTATCGGCGCACTCATTGTTATCGCCCCAGCTGGCCTCAGCGCTAAGCCGCCCACAAGGGTCCTCGCCCACCCTTAGCTTGGCTGCTTGGCCGCTGGAGGTCACTGATCAGTTGACAAGGACCGCCAAGAGCTGCTGGTTCCAGGCGCAGTTAGTGGGGGAGGGGAATGTTGCTTGGCGCCACCCACCGCTGAAGCCACAGCCATGTGATGGCGGTACTTGAAGACTTGCGCACTGTCAGGGCAATTGAAAGCGTTTGGCATCGAGGCTATTGAGGATCTACGCGCAGGTGAGTAGGTATTACCTTTCGGAGAAGGATCATGTCACCATGTCTTGACTGTACTCGAAAGACTGCTTGTAAGACAATAAAAGCTGGTATGGCGGCCTGCAAGCTGTAGGGGTGGCCAGGCTTTTCTTGCTGACTCTGGGCCAACAGCAACAAGGAGAGTGGCGATCAGTAAGACTGCCACACCAAGGACGGGTGTAGGATTTGCGCATAAGTTAGTTGATTACCTAGATAGTATAGTTGCACCAGCGCGATCCTTGGTTGCCAGTTATACGTACTTTCTAACAAGATGCAAGGTATCACGTTGGGGGCGGCATCACGCAATAGGCGGAGAGCCGTGAGAAGAGGCTGCGGGATGAAGGAAGAGGTGCAACCCCAGATGCCTGCACCCAAACTCATGCAGTTGTACGAGCCGGGCCTATATGCAATGGAATCAAATCCAATATTGCTTCTCTGTTGGGCAAAAAGATGGACAATATTGTCGTTCTACTGTAGTTGAGCCCTGGTCTACGCACGGTGTTTGTGTTTCTCTTCGTTCAGCTGTGCCCTCGCGCTAGTGCCTATAGTCGAGCCTCAGTGCTGGAACCGAATCAGAACGCTTCTCTGCTTTCTAGTGAGACATGGCGGGCCGTTGTGTCGCAAGCTTTAATTGTTGCAGTCTCCAGTCGCCAATGCAACGCTATTCAGGTAGATGGAGGTGCGTGAGGCAAATGTTCAGCTCAGACTTTGAGATACGTTGGTACATATTATCCATTAAGCATCACTTGGCTGTTTCATGCTAATCTAGAAAGCGGTCAATACACCTACAAGTTCGCAACCAACACGAAACAGCCTCTTACCGTGCTATCTAGAAGGACCCGGATGGATGCATATTTCCCAGATGAACAATTACTATTGTATGGATTCCATGAACCATCTAATAGGCTACTACAAATGCCCATGTATATCAAGTTTCTGTCCAAATAGAGATGATGCTGATTTGGTGCCAATATCCTGCCGTCAGACTTAAGCCTGGCAGTAATAGTGCGCCGACACACCGCTCAACCCCGCATTATTGAGCTCGACTCGCTTCGGACTTCTCCAAGCCACGCTGCTGCTGAAACTTCAGCTGCCGCGAATGGCGTTTGGATTTCGTGTCTTGCCTGCGGAAAACTATCGCTGCGCAAGTCATGCGAGCCAACAAGCATCTTGGCTGAAAAGACGAAGCTTTGGAGCACAGCCTTTTTGTCATTACGGCATAACGCATCTCCATCATCATGAACCAGTCAGAGTTGTCCCACTCGCCAGAAACCCGCGCCTGACCGACTCACACCACCCACTATCAACGTCCCGCGCTATTAGTATGGGGTAATCAAGGCTGCGGCCTCCAGGAGATCAGATCTCTGATATACAGTCGACCTAATCTCAGCCCGGGCCATCATGTGCCTCTCGCAAGCGGCCGTAGGAGCACTAACAAACGCGCGTGCAACTACCGAGCCAACAAGCGGCGTCCTCTTGCAAACCACGACGCTCGTCGCTCCTCAGCGCCCTTCTCTCGCCAGCTTGGCAATCAGAGCAGCTGCCGCCTTGTCTCCGCCATACCGCAGTCCCTTCTCTGAAAGCGCCTTGGCCTTTTCCCGCATGGCCACGCTGGCCTCGCCGTTGAGCACGTTGAGGAATGCCTCGGTGAGGGCTGCAGCGTCCCACCCTGGCGACGTCTCCTTCGAGGGCCAAACACCAACGCCAAGGTATTCTGCTGTTTGCGCATATCGGTAATGGTCGGCCCACTGCGGGAGGATGACGCTTGGGAGACCAGCACTGCGGATTCACCGAGCTTTGGTTAGCAAAAGAAGGCTCTTCAGTTGATAACAGCCATGACAAGATGACCGACTCGTGGAGAAGGAGGTTTATGGGATTACTCACAGCAGCGCTTCATAGAAGCAGTTGGCGCCTCCGTGGTGCACAGAGGCTACAATATCACCAGTCTTAAACAGAGAAGTGGGATCGACGCTGAGCCAGGATTCCAGCCGCAGCCTTCCATTATCAATGTACTTCTTCGCCGGCTCCAGGAACTCATTGCCGAATTGCCCTCGCTTCTTCATCTTCCACAGGATCTGGACATTTTCAGCCTCCAAGACAGGAATGATTGCCGTCAGCATAGCTCGGGCCATTGCTTCGTCGTATTCCACTATACTACCCAAGTTGATGAGCATGGTGGGAGCCTTCTTTATCCAGCCCGCCAATTCTGCGCTCTGCGTCTCTGCTGGTGCTGCGTCGAGAACCAGTGGACCCGCCACATGAATGTTGTCCGGAATATAGCCCAGTGGGAACTCTGCTTCAGGGAAGCTCATGGCAATCCATGGTACCGCTGGGTTGTCTATCTCGCTAGGCGTGATAGCATGCTTGATGCCTTGTTCCTGAAGCCAGGAACGCTTGCTTCTAATGGCAGACGATCCAAGGATTTGAATCAGGGAATAAGCTTGCTGGTATATATTTTTTGGGACATCTTTCCAAGGAATTGGAAACGCAATGCCCGTGGCCATGCTAACCCGGCGTCAATACATGATGTTTTCTTAATCTCAAACAGGTTCGATGTCGGCACACTCACCCAGGATATTTCCAAAAATGTGCTCCAAGGGGCTGCCTCACGCTCAGGTCATCCAGCAGTGCATTCGGTGAAACGTAAGCACGTCTTCGGTTCAAACTTCGCGCAGCATCAACGCCCGGCCGAAACCATGGATCGAGCACGATGAGAGAAGGATCAACCTCGTCAATGATATCTACAATGCTCCGGTATATCTCCAAATGAGCTTCTTTTGACCATGCGGCCGTGAAGAATGAGATGATGTCTCCAAATGCATGCAGCCCTGGCAGCCCTGGAGGAGTCCTGATCCCGCTAGGGCCACCCTTGTGGACTCCAGCCTCTTCTGCGAGACTGGGAGCATTGAACTCATACCAATGCACTTTGGCATACGGGTTTTTTGCTTTTGCATTCATCTCGATGCGCCCAAGCTTGTTTGCCAGGCTAGGAAAGGATGCATAGTGAACTTCCAGTGACGGATGGCTCTCGATCAGCTCGGAGACTGCGGCCAGGTGAGCGTTGCACAGCCCAGGGTGGCTATCGGTGAGGACGAGGACGGTGTTATTGCGGCCACCGATCAATGTCTCTTGCTGTGTGACTGGCCGTTGTGTTAGAAACGTCGCCATGAGCGAGCCGACAATGGCAAAAGCTGTCAGGTCCCGTCGAGTCATCTTGTATGTTTAACTGAGTATGAAATTTAACCTGGCAAACCTGGCAGAAAGGATGAAGAGAAGCGAACAGTTCTTGCTCGTTCTTCAACGGCCGCTATGCTCTCCTTTTTAAGATGATCCTGCCTGGCAGATATGACATGGTTCTTGACTAGCTTATCACTTGTAGTGCTAAGTTTCATGCAAGTGGAGTCTATCGATTCCAACTTTCGTATGTCTGTCTCGTTCAGTGCCGGGACTCCTCTCGTTCGAAGGACAATACGCCTAGTTTCTGAGTGAAAGAGGCGGTTTCAGCTTCAACTCCGGATATGCGGGTTTACCATGTATTCTGCGCATACTATGCACCTGTATACTCGCTTGACAAAGGTTGGTTGCAGTAGAAGGCGTTCCGGGAGACGGGTTCAACGTCCGGACCGGGGGGGCCCCCGGCCACACAGTATCACAGATTCTTGCCGAGAAGGTCTAGGCCGTGGAGTATTGTTTCACTATCTATCGTCATTTCATCGATTGACAGGCTTGTATGCGAGTATCTACTGCCCAAGTGTGTTTTTCTCGGAGTTGAGATGTCAATTCTGGTAGAAGGCTTTGTTTTTACGAAGAATTCGTCCCTGATTAGCAGCACCCTTTGGATAGTGGTGGAGATTTGATGAAATTGAGGCCTCTTGTGAGAAAAAGTGCCATTTCTGGCTCCAAATTTCTTCATGGTTGGAACTGCTTGTTGTTTTGAGAGCATATTCCTTTGTGCCAGTTCTGAACTGCGACTGTTGCCCTCTGCTGAGACGTCAACAAGAGAGGTTATCTGCAACTCGCTACTCTCGTTATGCCCAGCACTACGCCAGCCTAACTATATCTAGGTCTTGCTTGGCTGAGCTCTGCCATTTACGCAACCAACCTGAAGCTTCGCAGATGACGAAATTGCTGGATTGTAGTTGTGTGGGGTTTGATGCCTTGTAAGCGGCTGGGGACGGGCTTTTGAAGCTTTACGAAGACCTTGGAAATCTTTACACAGTAGAATGTCCGATGAGAATGTTGATTATACGGCTAGCTATCTGCGCTGCAATTTGACGAGGCTGTTTATGCTGGTTAGTAATGTGATAACTGAGTGCAGTTTTACCCCTTTTCTCATCTCTAGAAGCAAGTTTTCTGCTTGACAGTAGGGCTAGTATTGCCCTTGTTTTGAAGGGTGATGACGAAAGTCCTAGCAGCAATACTAATATGTGATATTTCGGCGCCATTTTTACTTTTTTTGGTCTTGGCTCAATCAAGTTTGATATAGAACCGTGCATGTGGTGTTTTCTACAATTAATAAGGGGGAGGCTAGTATAATAGCCCAGTGCCTCGCAAGGGGCCCATTGACACTGTGTCGCAACCGGGATCGCGCCCCGGTTTTCCGACCTCGGGAGCGTTTGACATTTCCAATGCAACCAAATCTTTCGTATCCCCCTATCCCAATTAATCGGCCCCGTGAGGAAAAATGGCAAAAAAAAAACAAGGACCGTTAAGCTGGGTCGTTGGGCCGGCAGTTTATTCAACGAGAGCTAGGATAACTGCCGACCGCTTTTATGCATAGGAGGGCAGTTCAATCCATGTGACCCAGGGGTAACCCAACTGCCGCGCTTTGCTGCAGATGGCAATCTTGCGATGACCTCGTCATAGCTTTTCGTAGCACCGATTGTCGAGAGCTATTGATCTGTTCATCATGGCATTTGCGTTTGTTGAATGCCCTGTGTATCCACAGCCCGATAGGATGTCGTCGCGTCCAAGGGCCGATGTTCGCTAAGATATGCTTAATTCTCGCAAATGGTGATTATGAAGCGAGCATTGCCTTTCCTCTGGCCGTCCTAGTTCGATCTCGTACCCCTATCTGTCCAGGATGGCGTGAGGATCAAGGGGAATCAATATGTTCAGGACCATTCTCGATTTTTTCTTCTTCTTCTTTCCCTCCTTTTTCTTCCATGTTGGAAGGATGAGGGCTAGATATTCCAATGAGACAATCTTCAGATATACTACCATGTAAACCCGTACGAACAACAAGACGAGCTTCTCTAATAACAACTTTAGCGAGAAGAAGAACGCAAAATCTAATACTAGTGTCATAATTTGAATACTGTCAGCGCCATGATATTATGAATCACTATTGCACCACCACCGCAGCAATCAACAAAAGAAAAAATTGAAAAGTGAAGATGTTGTAGGGTAGCAAATGCAACCATCGTGCACGTTCCACGCAAGTCGTGGATCGGTAATATCAAGCTACCCACATTCAAATCATTGCCGACTTTTAGTTCAGCAAAGACCTGACTAAGAAACAAATAGCATGTCCCTACGAGGTTAGAATAAAGAGGGTCAATTCCACTTCGCTTGCTAGCGCTCGTTACCAAGCTTGGTAACTGAGTCGAGACGTTGTAGGAGGTGTGTAGGTTTCTCAACGCCAACACAGCGAAGCAGAGAAAGAGAACTGCCTCTGACAAATGTCTACCGCATGGCATTTATGCTAGTATTTTCCCTTCATCTGGCAAGCCACGCAGCGTTTTTCTTTTGCTACTCTCGAGCAGCCTTATAGAGGCATGTGATTTGGTTGTTTTTGCTTATAGTTGTTGCTACAATTAAACATCCCCATCATCTGTGCAAATGACCTAGATGACCGAGATAACCTTGATCGGCTTGGACGACCTTGATTAGCGCAGCAACTTTCCTTGACTCCCATGGGTGCCTTTAGCGGGCATCGAGTTTCAGTGTATCATGTCCAATCGAATCCTGGCGCGACGCCGAAATCTTTCACAGCAATTTTAACCCTCCCTGAGGCCTTCAACCGTCCATGCATGAAATCTGCGAGAGCAACCACTTCACAGCATTTTCTACGTCCCCCGAAACCTGTCGAGTTGATATCATTTCGACGGCACATCCCCACATAGGATCGCTATATAATCCCCTCCCATAAACTTCTTCACGCAACGAAAACCGACAATGGAGAGGAAACAATAATGCATGTCGGCAGGACCAAAAAAAAAAAAGCCAGTGGGAGCACCAACAGAATAGAGACTCGCTCTTGACCTGTTCACATGTCAAAAATCCCCAAAACGCCCATACTTGCAAAAAGCAACTTTCAAGTTACAAATCCATCTCTCGCTTCCTTTCACCTCAAAACCAACCATCGGCCCGTCTACGCGATGCAAACATCGTAACCAGGGGCAACAAAAATACTCCGCTCTCTCAAAATCTCTCAAAAAAACCATGGGCCGAATAGAGCCTCTATTTTTATCTCGAGCACCAAAGGTATAAGCATATCTAGATCTTATCTACCCCGACCTTTCTACCCCATTCCCCGCGATATCTACCTCACCTTACGAGTGCTGTGAAAGATAACCTTCCGCTCGTTCCGCCAGCCAGCAACACGCATATAGATATTTCATGCAAGATAGGCCGTACTTTGCCCCATGATTTCACCGTGGAATCTGCAATCCTACATGGACGGTATAACCTACATGTAGATAGACAGACGGCCCTTGCTCCCCACACATCATCCGTTCCCACCCTCCCGTTTGAAGCATGTGAACAGACTCATGAACAAAAAGCTCACTTCTTCGTTCTACAATACCTACTTCCATCAGCCAATAATATATTCAGCCAAATTCGTAAAGGCAAATCACCCACCTGAAAATGAATGAAACCATGAGATAAAGCACAACCCTCCCTCTTCAACCCAAGGATCCAAATCCCAAACAATGACCCCCTCCGTTTCTTGACCTTTTGCATTGTCATGGCCTCATTCACGAGCTCAATACTACCCTCCCATACTCGCCATACATGCATGTGCATATATTAATGCCCCTCTCACCTCTTCAATCCGACTGGCTCAGCTCCAGATGAAGGATCAGCGCCAGGGTCCATCCTATTCAACGTTCCCTAGACGTGATTGGAACTTGCATATTGCTGCAATATAACTCGGCGTGGTAGAATGCTACCGTCGTTGGGCTCTCGCACACTATTGGTGTAGGAATATGCACGCAGACACGGCAGGGGGTTGAGAGTCAACTGTAGTGGCACAAGTGTGCCACCCCAACAAGCAATGGAACCCAATCCTGCAGTCCAAAAAAAGGACGACTTCCGGTTAGCTACCTTGGTTTACCCATTTCCACTCGAACTGCATGCGCGCAGCACTAGGTATGGGTGTGGTGCTGCATCCTTCCCTGCATCCACCATGTAGCAGCACAAAGCATGGGAAATGAAAGAGAGCCATGCTCAAAGGGAATTTCACCGAAGCACGTTGGGTAGATGAATGAGTGTAACCTCCATCCTTGCCCTGTGGTCAAAAGCTCTTCCCGTTTTCTCCGTAACGTGTGTCGCTTGTAGCCAAATTGCATGGTTCGGAGGAAACTGATGCCTTGAAGTAAAATATCTTTGGCCAACGGTAGAATCCACAGGCTGCGGTAGCTTCGTACATGTCTAGTGTATAATTGTACTGCAAATGTTAATGCAATTGGAGAGTTGCTTTGGCTACTGTATCACATCGCGTCCATCAGTAACACCAACAGCCTGTGGTCTGAATGGTTATTTTGCGTATGAGTGGAAGGTACAAGCGCGAGTAGAAGCTTGCTGGTAGGCATATAACATGGTCTGGGGGATAATACCATGTTGGATCAAGTCAAGCAGGTTTGTATAAGCGGACGAGGCAATATGAACCCATCGACTTGAGATCCAAAATGAGTATTCATTTTGCAAAGAGACATGAATACGCAATTTGGCAAGCTGACCAGAGTGACATTCAACATCCTAAAGCAATATGTCGCGCTAACAGGACGCCTTCCCACACGCTGCGTGCTCTTGGCGGCGCATGCATAATGCATTGGATTGCTAGATGCCGCGGTAACGGGCAGCCAGTTCTTCTGTCGGGACCGGGCCAAGACAGGCCAACCCTGGGTTGGGCACCAGCTTGGTGGCAACACCATGGAACAGCAACTGATTCGTATGTAGTTGGTAGGTGGTAATTTCAGGGACA